GAGTAGGACTCCCCTCCCCGTTCCTTGTCCAACTAGGAGAGGTGGAGGGAGAATAGGAAAGGGGGGGCGCCGCCCCTGCCTCCTTGTCCAATTCGGACTAGGGGGAGAGGGGGCGCGCGGCCTGCCCTGGCAGCCCCTTCCTCTTCTCCACATTAGGCCCATAAGGCCCATTAACCCCCCGGGGGGTTCCGGTAACCCCTCCGGTACTCCGGTTTTATCCGAAACTTCTCCGAAACCCTTCCGGTGTCTGAATATAGTCATCCAATATATCAATCTTTATGTCTCGACCATTCCGAGACTCCTCGTCATGTCCGTGATCATATCCGGGACTCCGAACTAACTTCGGTACATCAAAATGCATAAACTCATAATAACTGTCATCGTAACTTTAAGCGTGCGGACCCTACAGTTCGAGAATAATGTAGACATGACCGAGACACGTCTCCGGTCAATAACCAATAGCGGGACCTGGATGCCCATATTGGCTCCTACATATTCTACGAAGATCTTTATCGGTCAGACCGCATAACAACATACGTTGTTCCTTTTGTCATCGGTATGTTACTTGCCCGAGATTCGATCGTCGGTATCCAATACCTAGTTCAATCTCGTTACCGGCAAGTCTCTTTACTCGTTCCGTAATACATCATCTCACAACTAACATATTAGTTGTAATGCTTGCAAGGCTTATGTGATGTGCATTACCGAGAGGGCCCAGAGATACCTCTCCGACAATCGGAGTGACAAATCCTAATCTCGAAATACGCCAACTCAACATGTACCTTTGGAGACACCTGTAATGCTCCTTTATAATCACCCAGTTACGTTGTGACGTTTGGTAGCACCCAAAGTGTTCCTCCGGCAAACGGGAGTTGCATAATCTCATAGTCATAGGAACATGTATAAGTCATGAAAAAAGCAATAGCAACATACTAAACGATCGGGTGCTAAGCTAATGGAATGAGTCATGTCAATCAGATCATTCAACTAATGATGTGACCTCGTTAATCAAATAACAACTCTTTGTTCATGGTTAGGAAACATAACCATCTTTGATTAACGAGCTAGTCAAGTAGAGGCATACTAGTGACACTCTGTTTGTCTATGTATTCACACATGTATTATGTTTCCGGTTAATACAATTCTAGCATGAATAATAAACATTTATCATGATATAAGGAAATAAATAATAACTTTATTATTGCCTCTAGGGCATATTTCCTTCACGATCACCGTCTCTTTCGGTTCCAGTCCTCGAGCTCTTTCACGGCGAGGACCACCACCACCATCTGTTGCCGATGGCTCTCGAGCAGCGACTCTACGTCCGAGCCGTCGGACGAGGACAAATTCTCGAGCAAATATTCCTTGCAAGGGCATAAATCCATCTACGAATCGCACCCGAGCTGGCACCTCGAGTAAATTGACGGTTATTTTACGAGTCAGCCCAATATAAAGCATCTGATAGAGATGCTTTTAGCGGTGCAGCCTATAAAAACAATACTAATAGCGTCCGGCTCAACAGAATCGCTCCGCTGCAACTCAAGCCGCAGCCACCCTCCACCAATAATGCCACCGCCCGGGGAAGAAATTAAGCTCCGATGGGGACGGAACGGGGCGTCGGTCCTTGCATCCATGGCTCCATCGGCGTCCCCGGCGGAGTCTAGCACCACTGGTGCTTCGATCAAGCGTCCACTGCTCGACAGGTAGCGCGGTACCTCGACCGTCCACTGCTCGACCCCGGCCAAGCAATTAAGCGGAAGCAGCTAGCGCCAGTGAGGGGGATGGCGACCCACAGTGAGGAGAGCGTATACTGCCCAACAATCATTGTACTGGATCGTTCGTACTAGGGGCGTGGATGGCTTCTCGCCAGATACACTTATTTTGGGACAAAGAGCACTAGATCCCCATTCTAGCTTTTGCTCCAGAGCAAGACCGATAGAAGCTTTGCTGCCATGAAAGTGGTACTCCCCCGTTTCTCTTTGCTCCCCATATTAAATTTGTGTTAATTAAGTAAAACTTTGCAAGGTTTGACCAAATATAGATTTAAAAATATCTTTTTTTTTCTACGGATAGATTTATTTACGAAACTAGGATATCATAGGATTTATTTCACCTTATCTTGTACTCCAAGATAATCATGTATATATGCCCACGAGACTCAAGCAATAAATAACGATTCCATCAATCTCTCTTTCCCTTCTAACACCATATATATACTATGAAACTACATTTCACAATGGATTGAACAATATTGATTGGGCAATGCAAATGTTGATACTTTTTTATAAGTTTGGTCAAAGGAGAGATACGTTGGCTTTGTATAAAACTTATATGCAGACTAAAAAGAATAAGAGAAAGTATGATACTGTAATCCAAATATGAGAGTGTCCACTGTTTTTATTCGGTTAAAGGCGCTTTTATTATCTTAAAATGTGGCATCAAGCGAAATAAGAGCATTAAGAGTATCACCCAACCTCTACATTACTAGTATGCACACAGCCAAACACCAACTGTCTGACAAAAAAAGATAAAAAAACCGACAATTCGGCAACAATAGTGTCATATAGACCGACACTATATGTACGTCAAAGAGCTCTTTTATGGTACCCTGCGTGAAATATTGGCCGTCCATTCGTAAAATCTAATGATGGCGATCGATCTGTACTGGTCCAGTTTGCCAATAGAATGGCGAGCAGTATAGCTTGCACTCCTTCGCTTGTCCCCTCCGGTATACAAATCCCGAGGGCATTTTTGGAAGTAAAAAATTTCGGCTCGCACGTCTCGACCTAAGCTGCTCGCCCGCGACGACGGCTGGCCATGTCGGGCAGGCGAGACCATGGTAGCTGGCTGTGCACTGTCCCGGCCTGCCCTCTCGGATCACGCTGGCTGGGGACGGTGGCGAGACGACCCGAGGGCGCGGGGCTGCTTGCGTGTGGGATGCAGGAGCGGACTAGTGGCCAGTGCGGTGCTGCGGCATGTGCACGGCGGCTGTTGATGCGGGCGTGGAACGTGCATGGCTGGGTGTGTGCATGTGGGACGAGCTTCAGGGACTCATTCATGGCGGACAGGGCGCCGGCTTCAGCGAGACAAATGTCACGGTAGATGAAAACGACGGTAAAGAAGCGCGGAGGAGCGGCAGCTCAGCACGCACGATGTGATAGTCGGGGACACAGTGAAGACGGCGAGGGAGCGCGCTGGTGCCGATGGTG